AGATTCAGCTCACGTTCTGCTCTGTCCCCAGACGTTAAAAGTGTGTCCATAGTTTTGCGACTGGGGGAGTGATTGGAAATGTCAGCTGACAACAGCACTTTTCACTGACACTCTGAGAACTGGCACGGAGACAGAGGGAGGGAGCAAGGGAAGAAGGCAAACTGGGAAAGAAAGATGGAATTGGCAGATGTAACCACAAACAATTGGTGCTTGATAACAATAAGGATGAGGGTGACAATAAGAGCAAAGAGGGAATTCGTATACACAAATTTGTATTTGTAAAGTATTGGTATACGAATATGACTTAACATATTTAACATGTAACGTCACTGAGGGACAGGAAACTGCTAGTGTATCTATTTCCTCAGACTGTATTAGACCTGCATTGCTTTCAATGCTGCCCAGTGGCCCCCAGTCTGCCACTCTGACCTTTTCTAAATGTTACTGGCCACTATGCAAGCTGACTTGGCCCCTAATGAAGCTTTTATTGGCCCCTATTTTTCACTCAATTTCCCCAGAATGCCTGCAGGGCTATACTGACATACAGCTGACTTGAACTGCAGCTGACACACATGGGAGCAGTAAGAGAGCCTAACTTGTTAGATTTACTTGAGTAACTTTTTGAAACAAATGTACTTCTGTAGCATACTTTTAATTTCTTCTTTCAGTTTTAAAACTTATTGTTTGTCCAAATGCTCCCTTGTTCTAAAGCTAGAGTATGCTTTGTAGTGCTATTGGAGGTGAGTCAAATATAGTTATATATCATGATTGATAGTACTTTGCATATAAATACTTGTATGACCAATTTAGAAACATCCCTTTACCACCTAAGTCTTTACAGTTACAACAACACAAACTCTAAATACTCCATCCCCTCTACAAACAGTGGTGGGAGAAATGGGAATTTTCCTCAGTAGTGGCAGAAAGTGTAATCAATATAAGACTAAATGTCTGTGAATTGGTGAATAACAGAATACAGTGTAAAGTGCTTTGAAGTCTGAAGGTAGAGCATTTTAGATGACAAGATTTCTTAAACTAAGAGACTTAAATGCATCTGTAAAATCTTTACCACCAGAAGATGATGAACAGCCGTAGTGGCATGGGCAAGCCATGTTTTTTCATTCTTATTTACATTTGATAATCATAAAAAGGCTTGAGAGACAATAATCCCACCATGGCTGTTGTGTCTATGGTCAAAGTTAACTGATTTAGCAGAGGACAAAAAGATACTGTACCTATGTCGATTAATGTATATTTTTACGTTTAAACTAGTTTCAAAAGAACTGCAGGGGAATCGTTACTATACACAAACTGTAATATTCTGTCAGATAAATTCAGTTATGAAATTTGCTTCCATGTTGATTCTACCTACAATAAAGGAGGTAGCTACGAGTTTAACCCCCCAACTTCTGACCCTCTTTGCTTCTGCACCAAATCTCAAAAGCTCAACCAATGTTCAGCGTTGTTTCTTCTTTGGTCCACTTCAACATTAGAAATGTATCGTAGTGCTACTATATACTGGCAAAGCCTGAGCTCTTTGTCTCATGCATTTAACCTACTATTTCTATTAGTGCAAAATCCATTTGTGTCCCTGATGAGTTTGGAGTCATAACCAGAGGTACATCATTATATATTTTAGACCTGTCAAAATGTATGAAACAGTTATTTATATAATAAAATCAAATCAAAATCAAATATGCCAATATTTTTCAATAAAAGCAGGACTTTTCTTTTGCACCGCAAAGAAAAAATGTGATGTACTACCGTATTTTCACGACTATAAGGCGCACTTAAACGTCTTTTTTTTTCCTCAAAATGTGCGGTGCGCCCTATGGTGCGGTGCGCCCTATGTGTGTTGTAACTGCGACTTTTGAGACCACCTCATTGAGGAGATGATGAAAGAGTGGCTGAATGTAAGGAGACCAGGTGTTTTTTTTCCACCCCTCACCATCGCTGTTAATATGTAACTCCATGCGTGCCCATCTCACAGCTGATGTGAAAAACATGGGGAAACAAATGAATGCTGTGCTCGCTGTTCAACCGCTCGACATCGGTGTGAACCGGACCCAGCAGGTGCAGCAGAAGCAGCGAGTTTACATGCAAAGTCAATGGTTGACGCGCATATAGGTGCAGCAAAAGGTCCTGCAGCGCATTTTGGTGCAGCACGTCGGGAGCGTTTAAGCATCTGACGCACCGCCAACGCGCTGCTGCTGCTCAGATGGAAAAATTGAAGTTTTGCTGCTGGACGCGCCGCATCAACCAATCAGAGAAGCTGATCTGGGAGCTGACAGCGAGACACAGCGCTCTGATGATATTAACGCAAATGAAAAGGCTGGATGAATGAGGAGATGATGAAAGGCAGGTGTATGTGAGGAGACCAGGTGCTTTTTTCCACGCATCACCATCGCTGCGTGCCCATTTCACAGCCGATGTGAAAAAAAGATGAATCAAATGAACGCTGTGCTCGCCGTTATCCCGGGGGGTCTGACAAAGGAACTTCCACCGCTCGACATCGGTGTGGAGCGGCCGTTCACAGTAAGGCTGCGAGCGGCGTGGGAGAGATGGATGACAGACGGAGACCACAGTTTCATGATAAGTGGAAGGCAGCGCCGTGCAAGTTACGCCACCGTTTGCGGATGGATTGTAGATGGACTGTGTCTGCTGGCTCTGTTCTTCAAGCTTTCGCAAAAGTCGGCATTATTTCTGAGGAGCTGCGCTGCACGGAAAGTGACTCTGACAGCGAAGAAGGGGAAACTGGCATGTCTGATTTAGCGCAGCTGTTTTATTCAGAGGAATGCTGAGGATAACAGAGGATGATGACTTTGATGGGTTTGATTAATACTTTGTAATAAATACATGAATAAAGCACAATCATACTCAGGTTTGCTTCCGCTCTATTTTTCTACCTGAAAACTTAATTCAACAGCCGCGGGCGCGTCTCCTCCTCCTCTTCAGCGCGGTGGCTGGCAGGTGTTTTTTCATCTAAATAATCTAAATCTTGCAGCTATATTTGCTGTGATCAGTGGGAATAAAGTAGTTTTAATATGTTTTTAAGTGAGAAAGGTCACCTGAAAACTTAATTCAACAGCCGCGGGCGCGTCTCCTCCTCCTCTTCAGCGCGGTGGCTGGCAGGTGTTTTTTCATCTAAATAATCTAAATCTTGCAGCTATATTTGCTGTGATCAGTGGGAATAAAGTAGTTTTAATATGTTTTTAAGTGAGAAAGGCCACCTGAAAACTTAATAATTGCAGTCAGTTCATCCAGATTATCTATTTCTGTCGGAGGCGCTCAGAAATCCTTTCGTTCACCGCGGCTGCTGGCAGGTGTTTTTCATCTAAATAATTTTAGCTGCAGGCACCAGGATACCGGTAATAAAAGCGAACATATTCCATCGGCAGGTTTCAGGATTTTAAGTTAATTTAGGAGTGATCACAGCGCTGTGTCATCTGTGATGTGTCTGTCTCACGGCCAGCTGCCAGGTTTGATTAATACTTTGTAATAAATACATGAATAAAGCACAGTCATACTCAATTTTGCCCCCGCTGTATTTTTAAATACGCAGTAGAGGTATTTAAAGGTAGTAGAGGACATGTACCTGTATATAAAAAACGCGCCCTATAGTCCGGTGCGCCTTATGTGTGTGTTAAATACAGAAATGGGACACATAACTGAGAGTGCGCCTTTTAGTCCGGTGCGCCTTATGGTCGTGAAAATACGGTATATTTTTTTTAACTAATGCTGTTGATGAAAAAGTAGTAGTTGCCCTTAAAAAATGTTGAAGATGATGGAGATGATAATACATCAGTATTAGCAAGTATGGCCTTTTTTAAACATGTCAGTATCGGTCCGACATGCATAACTGATAAACAAACCTAAGTAATGGAGACAAGAAACATATCTGATTCTAAGAGAGATAAAATGGGAAAAGCACCAGAATATATTTTATTATTGATGTTTATATTGTTAAACTGTATAGACATTTAGCTGTTGCTGTGAAGGTGATTGATGCATAAATACACATCCTTATTAACACTAATACCAGTGATAGCGATGCTTTGTTAGCTTTTCTCTCTAAATAAAAGCAATATTTTAAATAGATTGCTTGATTGAAATAAACAGAGCATGGGAGCTGTGTTTTGTCACAGCTGCAAGAATTCAGACTCAAGATCAGGTTAAACGTGGATCTCATCAACAATGCTTTTACTGAAAAGTAACATTATTTTGCATTTATCTTGCATTCATTCCAATTAAAAGGTTTTAGGCAATGACTTACCTTTATTTATTTTATTTAAATATTTCCTACCTTGATGCTTCTGCCCTGTTTGCTTTTGGCTAGTCTGACCAGCCAGACTGACTTAGGCTCAGATTAGCAATTAAAAACAGACTGGACCAGTTACATTATGAGAGGCAGGAGTGGACATCTGTGCATTTGTTCACAATTCAACAGAGCTTTTATGTATAACAGCCAAGATAGTGGCTGTAATGGAGTAATGCCCTTTAATATTTCTCAAAAGAAAGAGATATATCTTTAAAATTTCAACATCTGGCAGCTGTAAGAAACTTTGAAATCGGGCTGTACCACCTCCTTCCCAGGCCAATAAGCCATGTATACGGCATATTAAGTAAGTGTGGCAGACCAGGCTATTATTTGGTATGAACAGAAATGTTTATCAGCCAAGATTTTCATATTAGTGCATCCGTAGTCTAAACGTCTTCGTAAATATGATTGGTTTACATTTTTTATTTGAAAATAAGAAAAAGGTTTTTATGCTCTTGATCTGAGTTTTGTCACAAAATGCAGAAAGAAAGGAAGGGTTATGCCCTTGTAGGCTGTTTTTTTTCCCCCAAGAAGGAACCCATAGGTCAAGAGCAGGCTGTTGGTGCTCATTAAATGCTACCATTGCAACACTAATTAAACCATAAGTAACTGAGCTGATTATTTATAAAGTGAACTGAGGATTGGACAAAGTCAAAAGAGAATGTGAAAGGTTCAAACTTACGGCTGACAGAGTTTGATAAGGTCCTGGTCTGTGGTGGCTGGTGGTAGACCCCTGATGTACAGGTTGGTCTTACTAAGTTGCTCCATTAGCCCTCCTCCATGACCACCACCTCCTCCTGTTGTGCCCGGACTGGGTGGAGCCATCGGCTGAGGAGGAGGAGCATAGGACTGCTGCAAAGACAGAGAGAAAAATTAATGAGACAGGTACCTCTGCATTCCTTGCTAATTTAATTTTGATGCACTGTCAAATGTGCACACAGATCATATAGGTTTTAAGTTTGTGCCCCATTTCTACCTAATCAACCATCCTCGATCCACCAAACTCATCCTGCTTAGTTATCATTTCCTGTGCCACTCCATTTGCTTGATTCAGCAGGAAGCACATCAAATTAAGGAAGCAGGATATGAGGCGAGTAGATCAGCAGGGCTTGATGGCACCAAGTTTTACCACAGACAATTGCATGAATAACAACAACAACTTTTTTTTACAATCCTTTGCAAAAGTATTTATAGCCTGTCTAATACATAATATCTTGCAGGCACAACCTTCAACATTGCAAACTTGTGACCTTTCTATTTCAAGTCACAAATGTAGATTGGATATTTGTAACTCTGTTACACTCATAAACATTGCATTTAGACATGGTTAGTATTTCTAAAATACAACTATTCAATAAGTAAATATGCAAAAATGTGTCAACAAAAGAAGTTAAAGAAACAAAAATGCTGTCATCCTCTGCTATTTTCTACTTCTACATTTCAACTGTAATTAAATTCAGTACCTTGATATATTCACAAATGTATTGCTCATATCCGATAGCTATAGAGAATGAAAATAGACCATGCAATGTCTAATTCTGGGCCCAAGCACTATATCACTCTTTAACTTTCTAAAACATCTCATATTGGCCTCCCCCTTCAAATTACACAACTCAATACTGGCTAAATGGCTCAATGAGATGACCCAATCTGGCAGAGAGGAAAGCAAGTGTGGGGATTAATGAGTGTCTGGCACTGATGAAACATCCACCCCTTCTTTGGCCCAAGGCAAAGTATTAAATGAAGTCTCTAGAAAGTAAACATGACAACAGTGTTGGGAAGACTTTCTCTTGATCTTAGAGTGAAGCTACGCCCTCTCAACACAGAGATCTAGCGGCCTTAGCATCAGTCCCACATGGTAAACATGGCTGGAGCAAACTCATAGGAAGGAAACCAATGGATGTAAGCAGAGGAAAGGGTGAGAAACAAACAAACAAAAAATATATGTGCTTATATGCAGCACAAAAAACTATATGTCCATGTGCTCTCAGAAATGTAGGAGAATGTGCGGCAGAGCAACGTGAAGCCTGAGCCAACTCTGATATTAATCCATTACCTGTGTGTTCCATATGTGACACTTACCACCCATCATACACTCAGACACACAGACATTTTGGAAGCTCAGAGGAACCGCATTGACAGAGTTCATGTCACATGTAGGACAAACCTGCTGCACTAAAAGAAAACTGATTTACAGTAAAGAGCACTGTTTGTCAATTAAGTAAGAATATTGTAAACCTGTTCACTTAAGCAATGCTTGAAAACACAAGAAATACAAGAACACCCACTATGCTGTGTAAAAAAAACTACCTCTATTGAAGATTAATAAGCTCCAAAATTCTTTACTATCCGTGTTGGCATTTTTGTAATAGTGATGATTAAGTCCTCACAGCTTCAAGGTCTGACTCAGCCGACACAGTTTGGCAGAGGAAATGTTGCCCAGCTGCCTTTGACAGATCGCACCAATGCATGTTTATGGAATGTTTTATACAGAAACTATATCAGCACACTCGTGCATTTTCTTTAGAGACTTACGCAGCTGACCTTAGCTTTGCACGTTCTCTGCATTCCAATGTGATCTGGGGCAGAAAACACATATTTTGCACTTCTGCACACAGTTATACAGGCTTGCATGAATGTATAAATCTCTCTCTGTTTCTTCTGGCCTCACATAGCAACCCCCCCAACACACACACAGACACACTTGATCAAAGGCCTTTCCCAGGGAACCTCTCTCAGCAAATGTGTGCAGCTGTCGTGGTTGGGCTGATAGTGAGCGGTATGTGCAGTGCTTTAAGAGGTTGGGATATGGGAGATCCATTAAAAAATTAAAATCTCTTGCTCTTTCATAACCTCCCTTCCTCCTATCTTTTTTCCTTTGTTACACACCGTTAATGATGACCACACCATCGCCTGATTGCTCGATCCTTTCACCTCTGCTGATCTGCTCCCTCAAACTGTCTTTATGCCTACTTTCGTTTCCTTCTGCTCCTTCTCTTAGTCTCCCCACTCCATTTTTTAAAGGATTAGCCTTCACTTGTGCATGTGGACTGAAGGCTGCCTCTCAGCTGGTGCTGTTGACACACTTAGTACAGAGAAGCAGCTCTCGCAGTGGGAAAAGGGCTCAAAGGCAGCGACACAAACCATCACACAAAGCAAACAGTTACTGGATTTTATGCATTACTGAGCTATGAAAAATTAACATGACTACTGCTTCATGTATGAGCACACTGCTGAGTCCATGGTGAGCAGAAATCTGACCTTTTTCATTCAGCGAGATCTGTATAATACTGAAATTATGTTTTCAAGCAAAACAAGAGACAGAAAAGTTTTGTGTGCTTCATAATATGATGCATTCATAATAATGTTTATTTGATTTATTACAAGGTGGATGGACGGAAGGACAGAGAAATGGGGGGAATGAAACATTAAAAATGTTAGATCATGTGGGATCCCATCTACCAGATCTGGACTGAACAAATCATTCTTGTTTCCACTTCCATAAGAAAAAAGTGTACACAAAAACTTAAACAATAAAAAAATAAACTTAAAAACCTCCCATTAGACTTCACACACAAACCCTCCTCAATAACGTAAGCAAGATTACATTCATACATAAAAATCCCAACTCATAATCAAATAAACAAGGACACGATTTCATACTGTTTATACTGTTCCATCACAAGCTGCACTTTATGCAAATACAATATGCTACATTTTATTTTGTTTTTACCAAGGATTTTTAACATCTTTATCTTATTCAACAAGTGTTTCAGGTTTTTTGTTTTCTAAGAGAGTTGAGGGTGTTTTATATGTATTATAATTCTGTTGTTCTCCTCTGAAAGTATTTTCTATTTTTAAGGTTGTTAGGTTTTTTTGCACCTTTTTTTTTTTTTTCTTTTTTTTTTTTTGCACCTTCAGGAAACTGGACCCAAGATGAACCTGACTATTTAGAGGTCCATAGTGACTTCTTGATATCTTGCCTGGTTACTTCACATTTGTTTCAAAGGTTGCGATAAAACAACCACAAAAAAACACAAAATTTTCCTTCCATTTCCATTCCTCAGATCTGGTGAACTAATGTATCAGAAACTATACGCTATCATCTGAGCTTTAAATGTACTTCTTTAGTACTTTTGACGTACTCAAAATTCTAACTGAAATTCTAAGAAATAAAAATTAATTGAAAAAATCCCTTTTCTCATCCAACCATGTTCAAACACTCTTAATCCCAAGTGGGAATAAGCTGTCCAAGCTGTCTACAGGTACACCTTGGGCAGGTCGCCAGTCCATTGCAAGGCAACACAGAGACCATTCATGCACACACTCACACCTAAGGGGACTTCAGAGAAGCCAATTAATCTAACAGTTTGTGTTTTTTAGTGTTGAATAAAGTTCAAGTCACTGACTCAAATGTTACTTGAGTAAAAGTCTTAAAGTATCTGAAATGGCTTGTACTTAAGTATAAGAATTACTGTAAAAATAGATGTACTCAAGTAATGTAGAGAAAAGTATAAGTAAAAAGTAGTGCAGTTTGAATGACATTTTTTAACATTTTGGTAAACTTTGGAGGTTAAATTCACTTAAAATAATATAAACAACCAAGTGTAGGTTAAATTTAGACTGGCTTTGCGAAAAAGACGTATCCTATTGGTGTTGATGAACAAGCTCAGGCAAGACCAGACTTTGTAGTCAGTAGGCGGGGTCAAAACACTTGCGTTTCTCTCGCTCTCTTGCTCATTGTTTTTTTTTTTTTTTTTACTTAGTAACTAAAACAAACATTAAAAATGTATCGGAGTAAAAGTATGCAATTTAGTTGTCAAATGTAGTGAAGTAAAAGTGAAAGTTCTCAAAAAAATGTATACTCTTAGAAAAGTATAAAGTACTCTAAAATATACTTAAGTACAGTAGTGAAGTATTTTTACTTTGTTACTATGCAACACTGGTGTTTTTGGACTGTGGGAGGAAGTCGGAGTACCTGGAGAGAACCCACGCATGCTCAGGGAGAACATGAAAAAACCATGCAGAAAGACCCAGGGCGGGCCGGGAATCAAACCCCAGAACCTTCTTGCTGCAAGGCAGCAGTGCTATCCACTACATCACTGAGCAGCCCAGCCCTTTTCTCAATCTGTCATTTAGAAATAATGTTGGCAATCTCATATGATCTTAAACAGGGAAGATTTCTTCAGGAACTGTCGTACTTTGAGAAAGGAAGGTTATGTAAATTTTATAGAATGATGTAAGTTTCTGTTTCAGGTGGTTAATGGTATTGGTCAGATTGGGTTGCTGTATTGGCCAATGGATGCTGTTTAAGGAGTAAGATATTAGGAAGCCAGACAGAACCTAAAAGACATTCATTTTCTTTGTAATATCCCTCTAATTTAATAGATTTTTTCAGGCATTAATATCTCATAAAAAAAAAAAAAATCCTAATTCTGCTTTTCCATAAAGCAAAAAAAATAAAAAATGTAACAGTACGTGTGATCAGATGCTGATGGAAATATTGACCAACAATGTGGCTGCATATGTACTACTATGACAGGTGAGATAACATCTAACATCACAGCCAGGAAAAGATTAATTTGATTGTCTCAAACACTTGCAACATACCTAAGGACAGGTTACTATCAACAGATAACTGTAGGCCTAAACCCCATGCAAACAATTCAAAGATAAATAAATAAAAATGTAAAGATTTTGTCATCATTCATAAGGTTTAGTAACTGGACAGGGATGTCGGTAATGTGGTAGCAGAGATACTGCTGATGCACAGGCCCACACTGTCGCTAATGCATTTGACAAACATAAATGGCCATTGATGAGCATATAACTGGAGCAATATACTGGAAAAA